CAAAGGCTGCTTAAAATTCTTATAAGCAGGACAAATCATTATAGGATGCTTTTTTATTAAGTGAATTTTAAAGTTGGTAGCATTAAAGTTTAACATTTTGATGAAAACTCACTCTTACAAATTCATTCTAAGCTATGTGAAATATTTTGCCTTGGTGAGGTACCTCAGTACAGTTCTATATGTTAGTAAAGGATGCCTCATTCCCATGACTATTCTAAACCTTTTTTAACTTTTATTTTTGCCTTTTCATTTGGAACTCCTAACTACATATTTCTATAATGAGCTGTGTGTGTTCTTTGTTGTTAATAGAGATTAATGGCTGAATTGCTTTACTCTCAAATAGGAACAGAGATATCTTCACTTTTTTTTTTTCTGATTATTTTGATTATTTCATATCCTAATTTTGGTTTCCAACTGGACAGTCTTGAGTCCTTTGGCAGTTCATGCCACTCCATTGTCATACCTAGTCCTGCCTATGGGCCAGTACAGTCTTTTGATCTCATTGTGAACTGTTTAAGGGAGCCAAGTGGTACAAACCCCACCAGGCATGTGGATCCTTTTAGCTGATAGTATTCCCTGGTTTACCTGGTGTTAATGCAAAGGGCCAGCATCTGCTGGACAGAAGGAGGGACAGAACCACAATGCAAAGAGACACCAGCTCCTCGATGAAGTTCCTTAGCACTTCTAGTTCACCATTAGTCCTCTTTATTCCTAAACATGAAAAGCTAATTGAGATGCATGAGGTTTTTTTTTTAAAGTTACCCAATTTTTGTCACCTGTCTCTTGTGTTTATGAACCTTCTGGGTAGTAATCTGAACAGCAGCAACAACAGTTTGTCAGGAATCCTTCCCTATGTTTTCGCTGCTTCTGACACTGGTTATTGGCTGATGCCAAGGAAATGACTGACACTTACATCCCTACTACCTTAGAGCTTTTTTATTATGCAAGGAGTAGAAGTGGATCTCATTTAATATCCTGTCTCCAGCTTTTTTTGCTCATCTGTTGTTTTTGTGATGCACCTTCCCTCCTATCTGCTAGAGACATGACTGGAGCTGTAGTGTAAGTCCTGATCTGGACAGGGGTGTATTTTTATCCATGTGATCTTGCAAAAAAAAAAATCTTTAAAATTGTTCCATCTCCCTAGCATTTATTCTCAAATGCTTTTTATAAACAAGAACTCTGATTCCTTTGTTAGTCCTTGTGTTTTGCTACCTAATTTCCTTTCTTAAAATATATTTTTAATTCTAATTATCATAGGAGTTCTCCTTTATTGACCATTTTATCTCTCCTGTCAGTAGGTTTACTGACTTCATTCCTGAATTTCTTAATGAATTTTTTATGATGCTTGCATGTACATACTGGAAATACCTTTCTGGATGGTAATGTGATTCTAAAATGTCTTTTCACACCTGCATTCTATTGATTGTCCTAAAATTGAGCTGTGTACTGTCTTGTCTCTGCTTTCCAGTGGTAAATCTGCAGATTATCGGAGGAGCCTTAATAATTAGTCTCCTAAGTGATTTTAGAAGTGAAAAAACATTTAATACGATGATTTCAACCCACTGTGTGATTTAATGCTTCCTGTATAATAGTTAGATGCATCTTCTGATCTAAATTTAAGGAACCTTCAGTTATGTTTTTTCTAAGCTATATCCTTTAATGAGGACAAAATGTTCATGTCTTGGTTACTCAAGTGGAGAGAGACTGGACTTGCCTGCTCTCTTGTCTCAGATTTCATAGCTGTGGTGCACAACCTCCTCTGACAGATTTCCAGTTAATTGTCTTCATTTTCTTTCCAATGTCTTGTCACTTATCAGCTTTATTAGTTAGGTAGTAATATACTTGCCTGCAGCAAGAATCTTTTATTTGGTGGGAGCAGTTTAATAGTGAGAGCATATTATAAAGTGTAAATGAAAGCATTCTCATATGAAAGATTAAGGAAAGATTCCATTGCAGCCATATTTGTTTTCCTAGCAAATTTTTTTCAAATTTCTTTAATATCTAGCTATTAAAATAATCACATAACAAATACTGGTTATGTATTTTAGAGATTTTTATACTTGGCTAACATTTAATGCTTTGCTTCCAACTATGCCTTTTCAGAAGAACTTACTGTCCTATAGTCTAGTGTATCTTAAATTGAAATTAGAGGAGGAAAGTCTGGAGAACATTGACGCATTCTAAGGCAACTAAAAGCAAATCGGGAATGTAAATACCACTATGGAATCTAAAGCATTGTTTCCTTAAAGTGATAGGATTTTTTCCCTTCATTTGGTCTGTTTCATAATAGCCATTTTTACTCATGTTGGGTTTTTTTAGAAAGAACTTTGCTTTTGTGCGTGAGTGCTTGCTGGATGTCAGTCAGATAAACTGAGGAGGCTTTCCTAATTGCTTCCTGTTTCCTGAAACTTCCTGCCGCACTCTTCGGACTCAGAATAGAAAAGCATGTGTTTTGATATTGAAATGATAACTGAAAATATGTAACAAACGTCTTCTGCATTGAGGCTTTTGCTTAGATGTTTTGAACCTACAGGTTTTGGGATGCACATTAGAGGAAGTAAGGTCTAAATAGAAATCCAGAAAGGCTGTTTCTGACAGCAACATTGTGAGAAGTCTCAGGGTGAGAAAGCTGGCGTAGAAGCCACAGAATTACAGAGTCATTTTGGTTGGAGATCCACATGTGGAGATTGTCAAGGTCTAACTGACCGTGCATGAACAGCAGTTGGACTAGATGATCTCCCAGTGTCCCTGTCAATCTAAACAATTCTGTGTGATTTTGAACTAATACTCTTAACTCCTTAGGTTTCCCTAACAAATATTGTTCTGTTCATTGCAGGTTTGATAATAAATAATTTCAGCTATTGTATTAATGCCAGCTGGATAGCTGGTATCACTGGCTTGAGATGTGCAAACTTCACCTTTCTCTGCTTATTCCTGTAGCCATTAACTGTGTGGAAAGAATGCAGCAGAAACAGTAAATCTGTTGTCATCGTGCCTCTTGTTCAAGACTGTTCACCGACATGTTAACTTTCATACTACCCTTATGTTATGCAACAAGCTTTAGTTTCCCTTGTATGTAGCAAGTGTCGTGTTAGCTGTGGCTACCAGTGGTTCTAGCAGTGTCTCAGGGCTGATGATGTGTGTTGAACATTAGTGATAGCTGATGGTCTGGTCAATGGCATGGCTCTACTTTTTGGATGCCTGAGAAGCGTTTTTGTCTGGTATGTTTTGAACAAGATTTCTCTGCAGGTTCTGTGTAAAATCAGTCTTCATTAATAGTTGAATGAGGGGGAAAAGTAGCTTTTTTACAGGGTTTTTATTGGTTTTGGTTTCCTACTGCTTTGCAATGAAAAACACATGCAGGTGTTGCCATCTTTACCTCTCAAGTTAGCCTCACTACATCATTACCCACGTTCAAGATATTCTTCTTAGGAACTGTATGTTAAGATATATGGGAAGATGGCCACACTGCCACACTGCAGCGGGGGAATGAGCATGGGCATGTGGGGTGGCACACCCAAGGCAGAGGGGTGGCTGGGGGAACGGGAAAGCCCAGTCTCCCTGGGCCAGGGCTGCCACAGCCCTAGGGCACTTCCCCTCTGCCCCAGTGGCAGCCACTGCCTTGGATGGGTCCTCAGTGGCTTTTCTTTGCAGCAAATGGACGCACTCCTGTACTTTCCTGTAGAGGCTTTTCCCTTGTATGTGCACTGTCTCCATCACTTTAATTTTCATTAGTTCAAATACTGACATGAAAGGTGCGAGAAAAATATCCCTAACAGTGAGTTGTGCTTGAAAATTTACTTCTCTGTCAAACATGCAAAGGACTATTTGAATGCTTCTTTCCATGGTGCCTTCTGGTTGGCTTTGAGAAGTGGTTGAATAAATTTTTAATGCTTTTTTTTTTCCTGACACTTTTATGTGGGTTTTTTATTCCGTGTGGGTTGCTCAGTCAGTAGGAGGAGGAGGCATCATTGGTGTGTCCTGGGAGACTCTGCCGGGAACTGGGTTCTCATGCTGAGAGGCTGCTGTGAGTGTTTACCTATCGCAACTAAGGATCTTCTGATGCCATTTTATTATTAAACAATACATATTCCTTGCTTGAGCTTTTGGAGGCTTCCAGCAGTCCTGTCAGGCTAACCATGTTGCTAAAGCTGGTTTTGTGCTCTTAGTTTGGTGTCAGCCAGGCAGCGGGGAGCTGGCCAAAGCCTCCACCATTTTAAGATGAAGCCCTTCTACTGTGACATGAGCCAGGAACCGTAGCTGTGCTTCAGAAGTCATGTGCATGCCTTTAGTTGACCCCTTTTCTTGCCGAGGCTGTGGCACTGGCCCGTGCTGGTGTGAGTCCATGGGGACTCATTGGAGCTGTCCCAGGCTGGAAGTTTTGGTGTCTGATGGTGCTTGGCTGTGCTCGCTGTGCTCAAGTTGTAACTCATCTGACTTCAGCTGAAATGTGTTTTGAGCACGTGCTGCCGATGTACTTCAAGTTTTAACTACAAAATAAATTGCTGTTGGTTGTCACTGTAGGTTCTTTTAAGGAAATAAGGATATAATTTGCTTTAAATGAGAGCGCAACTTTGTTGGTGGATTTGGACCACCAAAGCATGTGCCACACCCAGCTCTGCTCTTTATACTCTTGAACTCTGTTTTTACAGTCTGTGTGTGTGTGTCCTCCTGTCTGTGTTCCTCGTGGGCATTTCTGTCTTTTGCACAAATAGCTGTGTCCCCTCCCAACTCCTTGTGCACCCCCATCCTCCTTGCTGGAGGGGTGGGGTGTGAGGCAGAAAAGGCCTTGACTCTGTGCGAGCACTGCTCAGTAAAAAAACATCCCCAAATTATCAACACAGTTTCCAGCACAAATCCAGAACATAGCCCTATACCAGCTACTATGAAGAAGATTAACTCTACCTCAGCCCAAACCAGCACAAAATGGTATTTTATGATGAAAAAGCAATGTAGCGTCTCTCTCGATTTTATAACTGTAACTGAATTTATTTTTGTAGGTGTAGCATCTATGACTGTGCCGGTGTACATCGCAGAAGTTGCTCCACCGCACCTAAGAGGCAGATTAGTCACCATTAACACTCTATTCATCACTGGAGGGCAGTTTTTTGCAAGTGTCGTCGATGGACTCTTCAGCTACCTCGCGAAGGATGGGTGGAGGTTTGTGAGTCTTCCTTGCTAAAAGCAAAACTGGCATAGTCTTGTTTTGGTTGACAGCTATAGTAGTTCTTGTTTACATATAAAGTGGTCAAACTGTATAGTGGAATGGAACTTTAATAATTAGTTCTTGCCAAAATAGATCCATACTGCTTTCACTTAAGCTTAATATTCACATATGACTGTACTAAACTTTAAAGTGGAAGAGCAATAAATATGCATCAAAAGCTTGAATGATTGTCATGATGTTTATGAAAATAGCTTGCCTTTTGCATTTAGAATAATTAAATGCTGATTATTCAAAAGGCAAATTTCCAGTAAGTATGATGCTGTATGTGCAAAATAGAGGTGAATTTCAAATATTCTTAATCTGAGCAGTAGCAATCTAATCAGAATTGAAGGGAAGGCTATTGTAGCATAACTTTATAGTTAAAAGTTTATGTTACAGGATAATATGAATCTCTTTTAGTCTACTTTATGGATATTATGTTCTTCCTGTAGACATCTCTTAAGTGTTTCTGGACTGCAGTCTTATACCTGCTATCTTTGCAGTGATGTGTCATTTGAGAGAGATGACAAATTTCAGTGGCTCGGTATTTCACTTGCAGAGCTGACTTGAGTAAAACAATTAACAGAAATGTGTAGGAGGAATAACTTATACTCTACATTCCAACTCTTGGAAACTTATGCTTAATTATATGTGCTTTTCTTTTGAAACACTCTTGGGAAAGGGATGCATGTTGTTGTAGGGCCTTAGATTTCTGTTGCTACAGCTTGGAATCATTTTGCTATTGGAACTTTCTAATTTGAAGGATCCTCTCCCCATCCCCAAAAACTTGAAACATAATATGTTTATGTTTTCTGGCTTTTAATGAAGCTGAATAGGGACTTCTAGGTGTGCTGATGTTTGAGGTTTAAGTTAGGAACAATTCAATTGGGACCAGGTACATAGGAGAACTTGGAAGCTGATCTTTTCGTAGTATATAAATAAATACACATAAAAAAAGTTAATGTTTTCTTAATGAATTTATGGCTTAATCTGTGTGTGACTGAAGATTCAAGAAGTTTGAGATTTTGACTTTTTGTCCATATAATTGTTTCCTTTATCTCTTTTGTAAAAAGATATCACATTTTGACCTTAAGGAAAATGTTACTTCATGCCAATTTTGTCTAATTTTAATTGAATTTTAAGTTTTAGCTCTGCTTTGTGCATTCTGGGTACTAGAGCTCAAATGAAAATAGCATTTTGCGTTTTACATGAAATTTTTGATGACCTTTTCATTATAATGCAGCTACATTCTCTGGCTATATGTCTACTTATGGAGAACCGACAAACATCCTTCACTGAAAGAACAACTTAGTTTAATAGACTTGCAAATCCCTTTTTGCAGTTAAAGAGATATGCTCAATTTTGAGAAAAGTTAGTGGCACGCAATAATGAATTTCTAAGTGAAATCCAAACTGAATTATTTGATCCTTGATGCCAGTTATGTAGTGGTTGCTTTATTATTTTAAATTAACTCTTAGTCTTAATAATTTGCTAACATAAGGAGTCCCTGTGCATGTGGCTGGGTGGGAGAAACAGACAAGCAAAGGTATTCATTTAGAAATGAAGCTCTGAGTCACAGTTACTGTTAGAGGCATTGTGTACTTTCTGGTCAGGCAGATTTTTGAGTTCAGGTTACCTCAGTGGTCAGGGATTCAGCTGGAGGAAGCTTTTGTGGATATGTCTTTTTTTTTCCCCATTAGTGCCCTGACATTTGGGAGGTGAGGATGTGGTTTTAATCTGTGTATTTCAGTAAATACTAGCATACTGGAAGAAAAATACAAGCTAACAAAATATCTGACAAGTATCGGTGTTATTGTTTTTTGTTTAGTTGTTCAGGTAAACTAAGATAGATTCTCTAGCTCAAAAGCAGACTGCTAGGCTGCTTTGGAAAAGATCAGTCAAAGAACCAGTGTTTTGATATAGAATGTATCAGATGTTTCCAAATCAAGCAGTGACACAAGGAAGTTACCATCTTTTGATATGTTACTTTGTAAATATGTTTAATTAACATAGAAGATTGAGTGGAAGGCAATAATCATTGTCAAATGCAGATTTTATCTTTTTGGAAAACACTGTTTTGATATGCCACTATACCTTAAATAGAAATGAGGCCCTCACCCACTGAAATGCTGCACAATTGTTCTAAGAACGTCTGCATTGGTGTAACTTATTCTACTGTTTGGATCTTAAAAAATCCTAATCTGCTATAATTCAGGCCTTTTAATCTGTCTGAACTGAGAAAATTAAAATTATGAATAAAACCTAGAACCTGTGGATTGAGTAAGAGCGGAAGTTTGGGTATTTAATCTGATCAGTGTGAGATGCTGACCTTTGAAAATCTCCAATGATGGATGTTTTCATTTTGCAAGACAGCTTGCTTAGATATTCAGTCACTCTTAATGTGAAGAACTGTTTTCCCCCATCTTCGATCTAAATTTTCCATGTTGCAACTTGTGACTGTTGACTCTTGTCCTTTCACAGGGTACATTTGAGAAAGTCTGTCTCCTTCTATATGAGCTTCTTTTCAGTTATGAAAGATGCAATTAGATCTTCACTTGATCATCTCTTTTCTGGGCAGCACAAACCCAGTTCTTTCAGCCTCTTCTTTTATGTCACACACTCCAGTTGCACAACCATCTTAGCGATCCATTGCTATTCCTGGTTTGTAGCTTTCTCTCATGTTGATGGTCCCAGTTTTCCAGGCTCTGGAGAGGAGCAATTGTTTCTGCAGCCTACTGGCACGTGCTGAATAACTTCTGCTAAGGTAGTAATGCTGTGTTTTATATATGTGCCAAGTACTGCTTTTTTGGATTGAGTGACGTCTAACTGTTGACAATGCATTGTGTAGAAACAGGCTACCACCTCAGTGATGAGGTATCCAGGTATTCTCAGCTGCAATGCTGGAGCCGTTTATTGGGGACAGTGTACCTGTCTGTCCTCAGCTAGTTTATTGCAAGCTAATGCTGATCAGGGAAGAGTACAGATGGTCTCTCACCTGGAAAGAGTGGCCAGTAAACTCACAGAGAGAATTCACAAATGTGAATTCATTACAAATGTGAGTCATTACATATAAGAAGAAAAATTACAGCAATTACTGTATCTCTTTGTGACTGAATGGCTAAGTATTGGAGTGCTGCAAAAAACCAGTAAGGAGCCTTACTTTTTCTTGGCTCTTGTTCTTGGAAATGCTGGATATTAAATTAAAAATAAACCAAAGAAAACAAATATTTAACCTGACCCTTATGTCAGGTTTGCTTTATAAACCCTGCTAATGCCATCTTAATAGTATTGCAGCAGTATGTCAGAGAAGAAGAAATGTTACAGCAGACTTATTAAATTTCATGCTGGATTTTTTCAGGTCTGCTAGACATCTGGCTTCAAACGCAAAGTCTTGTACTCTGTATAGGAAAGAACTATATTAGATTTCTGGAAGCCGGCTCACTGCATGAAATGTCTAAAATTGCCTGCTTTTACTCTAAATTGGTTATATCAAAATGGCTTGATCTGTAAATTGCTTCAGCTCTTGAACTTGCAATGGATGTACACTGTCAGTGTTTTCCTTCTGGCCTGCTCCTTCTCCTCAACTTTGACCAGAAGTTTGTGTATTGGAAACTGACTTTAGTGGGGGAGCACTTTCTGTACCTTTCTTTTTTATCTTGCCTGTGATAAACAATCCAATAGAGTCCAACTGGTAGCTTTAACAGCCTTGGATCAAGCTTTCAGGAGTCTCAATTGATTTTGCCTCCTAAGGTGATTGCAGGTACCCAGCTGCTTAGTTCTGGAGGCTCTGCTGCATGTAAGGGACTAAAGGGTTTCCAGTTTGACAGAATATAGCAATGGTGTTCTTAATCTTTATGGGCTTGTTTTACTCTTCATTTGAAACAGAAAAGGCTTTCTAAATGCCACTCCAATGAAGATATTGAATATACAATTTGGTGAGTTTCAATACTGTATGTGTAAAGGTAATTCTGTAAACAGTTACCAAAATGTTTGTGGAGAGAGAAGAGCATAGGAAGAAATGAAGACATTAATGAATGAGAACAGTAGTGAATGAGGCATGAGAACATTAGTGAAGATATGTTGGCTGAAGACTACTCAGCTAATAAGCCTTCCACAAGCTTTATGTTTTTAATTCATTTTCTTCCTTATCCTTTTCTTTTTTTAACCGATGATGAACTATACCATTCTTAAAGTGTTACAAAATAAGAGAGTTGCTCACAGAGTTCTTTCTAGAGCAAGATTTTCTTGTATGACTTTCGGAAATTTTGGCTGGTTTTAAGAAGGACTTGAGGACTCACCTTAGGGGTGGGAAGGCTGGCCTGGCATGCACATCGTCCTGGGATGGCTGTCCTCTTTGCATTGTCTTTTGGGTGTTCTTTTCACCATTCTCCAGTCTTCTCCAAAATGTTGTACTGCCCACATTTTTCTTTGTTAAATCCACAAGTGCCTCTAAGAAAGTGTTTTTCCATTTTCACTCAAAATGCATTTGGACTTAGAAATACATTTGGTTCGTTGCCCCAAAACAAGGTTTTCAATAATGGTTGTGCTTTCTTTCCTGCTCTATTAGCAATCTCATTTCATAGCATACTTTGTAAAAACATCCAGGTGAGAGACTGCTGATTCACCTGTGTGAAAACATGTATCCTGGGGTATGAAGAGAGGAGATAGAGGAGAGATTAGCAAATCTCCTTAGTCTCCTGACTGATCTCGAGGTGTGAACCTGTTTATGAATACAGGCTACCTCAGTATTCAGAGGGGCTGGTTTCTCAAGGTGTTTTAGTGGCTCTGTCTCCTGATGTGAAATAATGTACAGGTGACACCAGCACTGTTTAAATTCTTTAATGGAAGTGAAAAAAATCTCAGTGAAGTGTAAATGGGAGAAGGTGAGATTTAAAAAGCAGAACAAAATTTTACATTGTTTCACAATTCTTGTTATCTTTATAGAGTTTTATTGAAGGAATATAAAAACGTGGAGTGTATAGACCAGAACCACCCATGAAAATTGGTAGTATGCTTGTCTTTCACACTCTTTTACCTCACTTTAAAAGGATTGAATAATGGTATCCCTGGGTGTTGTCACAGGTGTCAGTGCTGATTCTTGGAAACATAACTCTGCAACTAGTGGAAAGTCTTTGATGAGTAGAGAACTAGCCTTAAGGCTGTAAATAGTAACCCCCTGGGCATCTAAAATACGGTTTTGATTTAAAACCTAACATTGCATATGACTGAAGATTTAAAAGCAGACTCTCTAAAAGATCTGGTATAAATTGCTGTGCTGATGAAATGATCTTTTTTCAGTGTTTTTGCTTATAGACAGAAATTTTCAAAAATAAAATGGCCACATGTCTATTACTGACCAAATTATGCATTTGGGTTTTTTGTCTGGTTTTGGGTTTGTTTTTTATACATGTCTGTGAAACAATTAGCAGTATTTCAGTCTCGTTTTTGACATCAACAGTACCCATTTTTTCTCTGTGCATTTGCTTTCTCTTTCTGCTGATTATGTTCACTGAAGGATTTATCAGTTTCTAAACTAGTGAAATTTCAGGGTTTTCATTTAGTCTGACTTAGTGTCCTCAGGACCAGTGGCCATAGAGTCAGGGGTGGCAGAATAGTCAACATATCCATCAGATTTCCTGGAAATGAAAGAAAGGGTCATATTTTCTATGACCTTGCAGAATATATGATTCTTGACCCCTTAACTTAGAGTGAGAAAGAATATGAAGAGAGGAGGATTTGATCTGTAAACTGCAGTTTCAGTAGCTGTAACTGAATCTTCTTATAGCATGTTTTTTTTAGGCAAATAATAGATATTTATTTATTTGCGTATTTATTTCCAGGTACATGCTGGGCCTGTCGGCTATTCCAGCGGTTATACAGTTTCTTGGATTCCTGTTTCTTCCTGAAAGTCCCCGCTGGCTCATTCAGAAAGGCCAGACTCAGAGAGCACGGAGAATTCTGTCTCAAATGCGTGGCAACCAGGCAATCGATGAGGAGTACGACAGTATCAAAAACAACATTGAAGAAGAAGAAAAAGAAGTCGGAGCAGGTATGCTGAATGTTTGCTGGCCTCTCTGCCTATCAATGAGGAGATAAAAATCAGAAGAAATGTTGAAGCTGTAGCCTGTGGGAACTTGATATTTTGCTTTTTCTTGTCTGTTTTGCTGTTTAAGTATTTCATGTACTGGTAGCTTCAAAAATGAATAGGTATTTCTATGATCCTGTAGTTTTAAATTAGGTTCTGATTTCTTAAGTGAGGAAAAAGTAAAATTGTATAGCATTCTAAGTTTATACTACCTACAGTTATGTGACATTGTACTAAAAAAAATAATCAGTTTAGGAATGCCCATCTCGAAAAGTGAAAATAAATAAATAAAGTTTGGTTTCTTTCATCAGTGGAAAAGGCCAAGCAGACACTAGGGAGGTCAGAAGGTATTGTACATGCCTGAATTATCCAGAGGCCCCTTCCTAGTTGACAGTATTCCAGTCAAGAAACCTTTGAAAGATATACAAAACTAGGCCTGTAATACAGAGATTCTGTTTCAGTAAAGGCAACTTCTGAAGGTCCTTTTGATCTGCTGCCGAAAGAAAAGGCATCTAAATCAAATCCTTTTTTTCACTGTTTTGTGTCCTTACACCGTATTTGCTCAAAACTTTATTTACTTATGAAACAAGATTACCATTTGATTGAATTTCTGCACTCTACATATTTTTCCTTTGCTTTCTGCTGAAACTTGGGAATCTCAAGTAAATCTCTTAAGTAAGAGTCATCTTAATTCTTGCTTCCTTAATCATTGATAGGAAAATACTCTAACTTCTCAGAGCTGGTGGAAAGAAAAATGGAAGTTGCTTTGCATCTGTGTACATTGAGATTCAACATCTTATAATACCTATTCTCTTTGCCTCGAGTTTGACTTTGAACCTTATAATAAATAATTACATGTCTGCAAAAAAGTATTTGACACATAGTTGAAAGGATTTTCAAAATTTTCATCACTAGTGTGAAGCAGGGCTGGATTTTTTCCCTCCCATTATGTTTTTTGAGGCTTTGGATACTGTTTTTTCCTGACTTCTTTGGGGAGTGGAGAATGAAGTTCACTGAGACTAGTTTGGTAAAAAGTGATGAAGTGGATATTCATAGAACAGCTTGGGCTTAAGAGTCCTGTGCTAAGGTTCTCCATCCTAATAGGGATTGGACTGTTCAGTTCTGTGTTTTAGTGCTTTGTAGAAATAAAAGGAACAGTCATTTGGCCCACCCAGACCCTTATTTTCTATCACTGGGCTATAGGGTATGACCTTGTTTCTCTAAATCTTTTGCCATGATGCTTTTTCGTAATTGTGAACCCAATGTGGTGTTGGTAGTAGGACTGACTGGGTTGTTAAATCAGTCCTCTGTACATTTGTAACTTGGACTGGCAACTGACAAGGTTGTTTTGTGGGATGTGTGGGTCTCTTGGTTTCCCCTGCACACTCCCCCAAAAACTGATTTTATTTCTGGAGTTTGGTTAAATCAATCACATTCCTATGAGAAAGCTTGGTTACAGAGAATTGTTGTTTTCCTCTCAGGTAATTGACAGCTTCAGAGTTGTCACCTAAGGGCATTTAAAAAAAATGATGGTACTTACAAGTATATATATTACAAGTATATATATTACAAGTATATATACAAGTATATATATATATTCCTGTTTGTTATAATGCTTAGCAGACAGGCATTAGATAGCTATGGGCACTCTTGGTTTTGATTATAACTTCATTATAATTGCACTTCATCTCATTTAACCCAAGTTCTTCTTTGTTATATATGTTGTGTGTCCGCATCAAGACATACATTTTTACGTTTCTGTGGATTACAAGTGGTATTTACAAGTGGTGTTAAATTGTAATTGCTTTCATTTCTTGAGGAGCTGTCCAGATCCTCAGTGTATTGCAAAAGTAACTTGCTGTTCATGATTTCATTGCCAGGTTTTCAGGTATTCACAACTTAAATGTGTGCTTCTGCAAAGACTTTGCATTTCATTTTGCTGTGGATATTTTAGTTGCAGGGTTTTTTTGTTTGTTTGGAATTTTTTTATTCATTTCTCCTATTTGTGGCAGACAATGTTTTTAAAACACTAGTTAATAGCAATGACAAATGAATGTAGGAAATCCTATCGGACATTGTGAACATCATTCCAGTTTCACAAAAAATGCAATGACCCTAAACTGACGGAGTGTGTACGTAACATTCAAGGAGAGATGACTTTGCAGATTGAAAATAATCTGGCTTCCTTTTAGGTAAAAGTGCCTTTTCCTTTCTTGTCCTTTTCTTTCTTGGAAAAGAACAGATGTTCTTTTTCATTGATTGATACACAAACATCTTTACCAGTTCCTTAGGGCATCAGTTTCTAAGTGAAACTAAGCCTGCGTTTGACTCCTTTTCTGCAAGGGAGTAACAGAATGTGGCCATAACATATTCTTCAGTCCCACACTAAAAAACTGTAATGCCTTTTCTAACTGTTTCATCCACTGTTCTTGTCAGGGAAGAATGAATCAAAGGGAAACTTCATCTATGTTGTTTAAGCTACCTTAAAGTTTGGGTTTAATGTGTGTCATAAAATCATAGAAGTTCATTGCATTTTTCACGTGGTCATCAAGTAGCTTCTGTCTTCAAAATAACAAAAATGCCTTCTGCAACGAACTTTAGCTGGGGTGGGATACCTGTAAAGTGAATGATTCACATTTCTTTATCCATTCTAATACATTCAGTCAAATCAGTGCTGCTGATGCTGCTCAGCAGCTTATATTTTAGCATTTTCATATTGGTATCAGGAAAATAATGTATCTTTTTGACAAACGTTTTCCCCATGACTGGTGATGCAAATGACATTTTTTTCTGGCAGTCATGGATACTGCTTTTTTGTGCTCTATTCTGTACTCACAGTGGGACTTTTGGTTTTGTAACCTTACATTTTGAGAAGCGAAGGGGAGGACGTTGCATTCTCCAGTAACATTGCAAGACAAGTCAAATCTTGGTCGAGTCCAGCTAGTCAGCATCTGTTAATGTCATTGCCCTCTCATATGGTGGGACCGTAGTGCACAAGCGAGGCAGGAAAATCAAGGATAGAAGAACTAATAAGGAAGATTTTAGAAAAGGAATGCGCCTTAAGAGTTGTGGAAAGAGTAGTTTACACGTGCAAAGTGTCCTTCCCCTTCAAATATGCTGTGGATCTCACAGATCCCCAGTCCGTGACTTAGGCTCTGAATTCTTATGGAATAAAATGGTCAGAAGGGGTTTGTGGCTGAGGGAAGGATCAAAGACATTGCTGGTAGAGTGTTCTGGCACAACTCTTCCTAGCAAAACATGTCTGACTCACACTGCTGCTGGATTGTAGTTTTTAGTATAGTTAAGGCAGAGGTTCTGTACTGCACTTTAGTTAAAAACAGGCAATCAAATCATAGCAGTGCAGATAAGCACTGGCACAGGAGCTTAATACACAATCATAGAATGGTTAGGGCTGGAAGGGACCTTAAAGGTCATCTAGTTCCAAGCCCCCTTCCAAGAGCAGGGAACCTTCTACTACACCAGGCTACTCAGAGCCCCATTCTGTCTGGTCTTGAACAACTTCAGGGATGAGGCAACCACAACCTCTCTGGATAACCTATTCCAGTGTCTCATCACCCTCAGAGTAAAGAATTTCTTCCCAATATATAATCTAAACGGTCCTCCTTCAGCTTAAGGCCGTTCTCCCCTATCCTGTCCTTAGATTCCCCTGTAAAAAATCCCTCTGCAGCTTTCTTGTAGCCCCCTTTACATACTGGAAGGTTGCTGCTCTAAGGTTTCTCCAGAGTCTTCTCTTCTCCAGGCTGAACAGCCCCAACTCTTTCAGTCTGTCATTGTAGGAGAGGTGCTCCAGCCGTGTGAAAAGCTTAGTAACCCTTCTCTGGACTCATTTCAACAGGTCCACATCTTTTGTGGGCCTCAGAGCTGGATGCAGTACTCCAGGTGGGGTCTCACAAGAGCAGAGTAGAGAGGGAGAGTCACTTCTCTTGACCTGCTGTTCATATCTCCTTTGATGCAGCCCAGGATACTGTTGACTTTCTGGGCTGCAAGCATGCACTGTTGGCTCATGTCCAGTTTTTTGTCCACCAGCACCCCCAAGTCCTTCTCAAGGCTGCCCTCAATCCATTTTCTATCCAGCCTGTATTTGTGCCTGAGATTGCCCAGACTCAAGTTCAGGACCTTGCACTTGGTCTTGTTGAACTTCATGAGGTTCACACAGGCCCATCTCTCAAACCTGTCAAGGTCCCTCTGGATGCCATCCCTTCCCTGCAGTGTCTCGATCACACAACAGAGCTTGGTGTAGTCAGCAGACTTGCTGAGGATGCACTCGATCCCACTGCCCGTGTTGCTGACAAAGGTGTCCCAATACTGCCCCCTGAGGACTGTCATTCATCACTTTGCCTGGACATCAAGCCATTGATCGCAAATCTTTGAGCGTGACCATCCAGCCAATTTTTTTATCCACCAAGTGGTTTATCCATCAAATCCGTGTCTCTCCAGTTTAGAGACAAGGATGTTGTGTGGGACAGAGTCAAATGCTTTGCACACGTCCAGGTAGATGACTTCTGTTGCCCTTCCTCATCCATCACTGCTGTAACCCCATCACAGAAGTCCACCAAATTTGTCAGGCCATGTGTATAGATGAAGTAGCTTGCGCTCCTAAGCAAATTAAAGGGTGGGATTTGTAGTTTTAATTCTAGAGCAAGTACTTGGGAATGAATTTAATGTAGTCATTTGTGCATAACACTAAAGTTATCTACCACACTTTTTGTAAAATTTTTACTGGCTGCCAGTATAGTGGTAACTTCTGATTGGAAAGAAATCATTGTAGCATTCAATGGAGACATTTTAAATAGATCATTAATTTCCCATATGTTTGACAATACCATAATGATCAGTGCAAATCATAGAAAGGTGTCAGTTTTTACTGTCTTTCTGGGTGAAAGCATCTGCAAATTGCATGGCTTTTCCTCACACCCCTCCATGCAGCTGTACTGAGCTCCGAT